AACTCCAAGGACTTGAACTTGGCATAGCCAGGTTATTCTCCAGCAAATAACCGACCTCATCCCTCATTATCTTTCTTTTAGAGACGTTGACACGATAAGCATGTTGCTTGATAGGTGCAGCGTTTCCAACATTAATGTCATGTTCTAACACATTTGTGCATGTAGGAACATCATTAAAAAGACATGGAAAGCTGTGTAATAGTCTCACAATATCATCTGACTGTCTGTCCGTTAAATGAATCAGGCTTGACGGGAGAGACAGCAGCATCTCTGAATTGGGCAATCTAGCACACTCCAAACCATCTCCGTCCACATCATTAACATGACCTCCCACTACAGCCGTAGCAGCCATAGAGACAGCCGACTCGGCCAGTTTCTCTGGACTGTCTATCTGAGTGACGGGTCTGGTGTGGTATGTCTTCAACATGTTAACGTGGCACACACGAGATTGGCATTTTCTATCAGGAGTCTGTATCACGTAGTCAGTTTCACTTAGTTTCTTTTCAATGACATAAGGACCAGAGAAACGTGCTGACAATGACGCTCCTGGCACAGGCAACAATACAAGAACTTGGTCACCTGGCTGCAGTGAACGAGAAACAGCCTGTGTGTCATAGTGTCGTTTCATCCGTTTCTGTGAGGAAGACAGCGCTTCCTTTGCTAGAGCACAGGCACCATGTAGGCGCTCACGAAAGCGACTAACGTAGTCCAACACATTTTCTTTCACACACAACTCTTGTGATAAAAACTGATCCTTAAGCACTTTCATAGGTCCTCTCATGGTGTGTCCAAACACCAGTTCAGCTGGGCTGAACCCTAGGGATTCCTGTACTGTCTCACGGACAGCAAACAAAACTAGAGGAACTCCCTCATCCCAATCCTTCTCAGATTCCAAGCAATATTTACGGAGCATAGACTTCAGTGTCTGATGCCAACGTTCAAGCGCACCCTGAGACTCTGGGTGATATGCGCTTGACACACGGTGTGTAACTGACAAGGATTTTAACACTTGTTTGAAAAGTTTAGAAAGGAAATTCGTACCCTGATCAGTTTGTATCACCTTAGGTAACCCAAAAGTTGAGAAGAATTTGATCAATGCTTTACTCACCACCGGAGCAGTAATCCTTCGCAGAGGAATGGCCTCTGGGTACCTGGTGGCCACACACATAATCGTCAACATAAACTGGTTACCAGATTTTGTCTTTGGTAATGGTCCAACACAATCAACCATCACATGTTCGAATGGTTCACCTATGGCCGGTATGGGACAAAGAGGCGCGGGGGAAATATCCTGGTTCGGTTTCCCAGTTACTTGACAGGTGTGGCAAGTCTGACAGAACTGAGCCACATCTTGTTTTAAACCAGGCCAAAACAAATGTCGCAAAACTCGATCTTAAGTCTTGGTGACTCCCAGATGTCCAGACCACTGGTGATCATGAGCGAGGGATAAAACATTTTGTCGAAAGGCTGTAGGAATCACTATTTGGTAAACAGCATTCCAATCTCCGCCAGCGTCAACATGGGATGTCCATTTACGCATGAGGAGATTACCATCAATGAAGTATGCCATGTTTTTCTTCTTTAGCTCCACCTCTGAGACAACACTAGAAAAACATTTAGCCAGGCTAATGTCAACCTTTTGGTTAGCGATCAGCTGCTCACGAGTAACTGATAACTGTATTGCCTCAGCAACAAGTTCCACATCCTTCTTCCTTTCTCTGGACTGTTGGTCAGACTGCACCAGCTTACCAGAGGTAGCACCCGAACTATCCTCTGGGTCACACTCTCTGAATTGAATCGTGTTCGACAAATCTATCACTTCACCCACTTGTCGTGCTTGAGCAAGTGTGACAGCACAAGCGGGGAACACATCTGGATAACCCTGTGCCAGCTCCTCGGAGAGAGACTGGTCACTTTTATCCAATACCTCCAATACGGGTATCACCTTTCCTCCGGCAATATCGTTGCCCATTATGAATGTCACACCTTTTACTGGCAACATAGGACATACGCCAACTCTGAACAATCCACTGACTAACTCAGAGTGTACGTTCACAAAGTGCAATGGCACTGGGACGAATCCCATTTCAATTCCTTGTACTAACACACTGGAACCACAATATGTATTATTGGACAAGGGCAACACATCAGATAGTATGAACGACTGCGCCGCACCAGTATCTCTGAGGATTCTAACTGGACGCTGAGACGCTTCGTCATCTGATATAGAAACAAACCCCTCAAAAATGAACGGTTCATAACTGTGATCTGGGACAGGGACTTTCAAACCACATTCACTATGAGGCCTCTGTCTTGATTCCGGCCTTACAACCGTACGAATCAGCCCAACACCCGTTGGCGGCCTGGCGTGCTGAGGCATCCCGTTTGCGTTTAAGCAGAAAGCAATCATTAACCATATGTCCCACCTTATGACAATAGAAACAGTGACGCACATCTTTTGGGCGTGCTGGATGTACTGCTGGTCGACTAGGACTAAAAGTTAACAACTCTGCGGCCCTGCTCTCCGTACGAGCCGAAAACACGCTCTTATGCGTCAACACAACCCCGTCTGCCAATACAGACGCTTCCGACAGTGAGGATACTTTCTGTTCGTTCAGATAAACTACAATGCGTTCGGGTAAGCAATTTTTTAACTCTTCTAACAAGATTAACTCCCGTAGAGAGTTAAAATCAGTTACCTTACTAGCACTGTGCCATTTGTCAAACAGATTTCCTTTGTCTCTAGCGAACTCCACATAAGTCTGAGTAGAAGCCTTTTTATGAGACCTAAATCTCTGTCGATATGCCTCAGGAACAAGCTCATAGGCACGAAGAACAGTAGCTTTGACCACGTCATAATTCAAGCTGTCTTCAAGAGGTAGCGCTGACAGAACCTCTTGGGCTTTACCTGTTAATTTACACTGAAGTAATAGGCACCATACCTCTTCGGGCCATTTCAATGCTACTGCTATACGTTCAAAAACACTGAAATAGGAATCAACCTCTGACTCCCTAAACACAGGTACCAAGGTGATCTGTCTACTAATATCAAAAGTAGCAGAAAACACAGCTGGTGAGGACGGCTCACTAAAAAGCATAGTACGAGCAGAGACTAACCTCGCTGTTTCTGCCTCTAGTTCCATTTTACGCATCTCCAGTTCCATCTTACGCGTCTCCTGTTCTTGATCAAGCCTACGCATCTCCAGTTCCATCTTACGCGTCTCCAGCTTGTCTTGCCTGATCTGTGCTCGCTCTTCCGCCTCCATTTGGAGCCATGTCGAGCGGACATCCATCCTGGCATCACTGTCAGTCAGTGAGGAGAGTGGGTCAAAACGGGATAATGTGGCTGGAGCCTTAGCCTCGTCCTCAGACACCGATGGGCTTACAGGAGCAGCAACCACATCCCCTACAGGAGCAGCAGACTCAGGTGGCGGTAACTCAAGCACTCGCTCGTTCAACAATATCTCTAACACTGCTTTCCTCACTTCGGCTTTCACTAAAACCCTTGATATGGGTACAGAAAAGTGGTCAGCCAAAGCCTGTAGATCCACTCTACGGCAATTCTCAAAATCCTCCCACGTAGGGTTTTCCAAAAATGCATCCAACTCAAAAGTAGCCATCCTAAACTAGCAACACGAGCCGACGAATACTGAACACAAAAAAAAACAGGTAGTTACAGCTGCCAAGCTCAACACTGAACCAGACACTAACTAATTTGCATGAGTAGCATGGGTATCAATGAAAAGTATCCCGGACGAGCCCCCACATTATGTTACGAACCCCGTGGCTTTAAACGTCTATGGTGGATGGATATGAGACCCGTAACATAATTCATGCAAATTATAAGCGTGACATGGAACAGTGAGAAATAAAACTACACGACAACCATAAACTACCATCAAACATAAAAGGTTTATTGTTGAACACACGGTAAAGGTTTGGGAAAAAGGGCTGAGCAGGACCCAAGAAATGAAACAATAGTGTAAAACACCCCTAAACTGATCTTGCCTGCCTCAAGAACCACTAAGCTACTGCTAATCATACAAAAATACAGTGGGTGGTCCGCTTAGGTCTAACTAGTGTTTTTAGACAGTTTTCTTCCTACGGGTAATGTACGCCCAAGGGCAACTTGCTTAAACTCCCCTTTTCCCAGAAACACACAGAGTTACCAAACAGAGTTACCAGGAAATGAGTTAGTAAACAAAACACAGGACACCACAGTATCCATACTCACATACGGAAATAGTCTCTAACAAAAAACACAACTGACCGGCTTTTAAACAATGGGATGTGTGATGGAAAAACCAGCTACAGATGGTGCAATGCAGAGGAATGTTCACTGATTGGTCCACCTTAGCAATCAGCAGACACCCCAACGACCACCAATCAGGAACATACAGGACACCTGTGATTAGGGCAGAAGGAGAGGAAAAACACAAAAAGACACAGGATACCTGTATCCGTAACATATACCCATCTACCAATAGATGCCCTTCTCTGCGAGGCATTGGAAAACCTCCCTGGTTCTTTGTGGATGTGTTTGAATCTGTGTTTGAAATTCACTGCTTGAGGGACCTTACAGATAATTGTACGTACAGAGATGAGGTAGTCATGAAAAAATAATGTTAAACACTATTATTGCACAGACTCCATGCAACTTATTATGTGACTTGTTAAGCACATTTTTACACCTGAACTTATTTAGGCTTGCCATAACAAAGGGGTTGAATACTTATTGACTTAAGACATTTTAGATGTTCATTTTTAATTCATTAGTAACAATTTTGAAAAACATAATTCCACTTTGACATTATGGGTTATTGTGTGTAGGCCAGTGACACAAAATCTCTATTTAATCCATTTTAAATTCAGGCTGTGACACAGCAAAATGTGGAATAAGTTAAGGGGCGTGAATACTTTCTGAAGGCACTGTATGATCAAACTATAATATTATGATAAGTCACGTTGACTGGCCTCTCCCTCCCACAGACAGGTTGATGATGTCATCAGTCCTGGCTGTAGTCTCTCTCCTCCTCCTGCAGACTGGGGTCCAAGGATTCCTGGTTCTCTTCGCAGGCAGCTCCATGGACCACCTGGAGATCACTAGGGAAGCCATCTTACAGACCACGGCACAGGTGTGCAACCAACTGGCCTCTGTTGAGGGAAGAGACTTCACTCTGCCGGTAAGTAAACTAAAGCCACAAAACTAAGTACTACATCAAACTCATATACAGTCGCTGTATTTTATTTATACTTTTGTCATAGTAAAGAAAGTATTGGTGTTGTGTTTTCTAATGTAGTACAGAATATAGTAGAATACATTTTATTTACACCAATGTGTGTTACAATGTGTGTGTGTGTTTGTGTGCGTGTTTGTGTGTGTGTGTGTGTGTGTGTGTGTGTGTGTGTGTGTGTGTGTGTGTGTGTGTGTGTGTGCGTGTTTGTGTGTGTGTGTGTGTGCGTGTTTGTGTGTGTGTGTGTGTGTGTGTGTGTGAGTGTGTTTGAGTGTTTGTTTGTGTGCGTGTTTGTTTGTTTGTGTGTCTGTTTGTGTGTGTGTTTGTGTGTGTGTTTGTGTGTGTGTTTGTGTGTGTGTTTGTGTGCGTGTGTGTGTGTGTGTGTGTGTGTGTGTGTGTGTGTGTGTGTGTGTAGCCCGGACCCCTGACTGCAGAGGTTCTGGCTCTAGCCTGCTCCTCATCGGGGTCTGCTAAGAGTTTCCAGAGTGCCATATCAGACGTCACCTGGAGAAATGCCGGAGTTGACTTCCGTCACCTGTTCAATGAAGAGTACCACTTTGATGGGGAGAGGTTCGTGGAGGGGCGGAAACTCATCACAGATGGCTTGACCTCTGTCAAAGCCAACGTCAAGCGAGGGAACTTTGAGGCAGCAAGACAGACGCTGGGAGACATTTTACACACCTTACAGGTAATTTACATGATTTACATGATCTCCACAAGACAAGAGAGAGACATTGCTTTTGCTGAAATATTAGTTTAGCTAAAAGCATTTAAATCACATGGCATTTGGCATAGCACTATTTTAAACAACTTATCATTCTTATATTTTCAGGACTTCTACAGTCACAGTAACTGGATAGAACTGGGCAACAGATTTCCCCATCCCAATCTCATCAGATCAGACGTGTCGGACATCGGCCCAGTTGCAGGTATTGCGAGGGCGTGCGCCTGGGTGTGTGTTAAAGAGGGGGAGTAATATTGAAAGTGAAAGAGTTTGGAGATGGCTAATTGCCATCTGAAACAGGCAGGTTGATGTTCCTTTGAGGAGACCAGGGGTGTAACATTCAGGTTCGACAACGATCCTTACACATTCAACACAAAGGGGTTTTTGTCAATTGGTGATTGCCAAAGGGATGCCAAGTGGATGACAAGAAAGAGGCAGAAAAAGTGTTTACTCGACTCACGACAACAAACTGATACGGACCAGTGCACGATGCTGCTGAAAGAGCAGCCACATGCCAATTGTTATAGTTTCTTTGTCCTGAATTGGTGGTTGCCAAAATAGAGGTCATGTGATGCTGTAAGGAAAATTAACATGTCTATTGCTCATTATACAGGATGTGGGTCAAATATTGGCTTATGCAGTCACAACATGCTGCCTTAGTAAAGGTCATGTAATGGTGTTTTACATCAATAGTCTTTTAGAGCACGTAGTGTTGTAGTACCATGATGTAGTTTATATTGTGAAACCTCTATCCACCAGATAAGAGCACGCCCACATGTCGGAGCTGTGTCGGGAAAGACTGCCAGAACAACATCCTAGAAAACATCATCAGAGACAAGAAGCTGACCTCTGGATATTTTGGCCTTGAACCTTTTTTTTCCACCAAACCAAAAGGTATAATCAGCCTCTAATCTGATTTTAATCAGATTTACACCGTGAAATGACCGGAGGTAGCATAGCAATAGCATACCAAACTAGTTGCATGTCTCTATGTGCTTTGGTGTTAAAGGAGTGGGTCGCAGTTCCGGAGCGACCCACTAGGTGTCATCCTCCGACAACCATAGGCACCTCCTCACTCACAGTCGGGACTAATTATCTGCCTATTGGTGTCACCTGTGTCTATTTATGCCCTCACTTCCCTGTGTTCCCTTGCTCAGTTTTCTGTGCTAGTTCCTTGATGTCAAGCAGTACGTATCAGTGTCGGATCACGTAACGGAGTTACGGGTACTCGAAAAGTGTTCTCCCTGTGTCATTGTGTTTTTCCAGTCAGAGTTAGTATTTCATATTGTTTGCTGTCAGCCTGTTATTTGGAGACCTATGTGCTCCTCATTTGTTATCATGTATAGTCTGTTGTTTTGTATCCTGGCTTTTGGACCACCAGTAAAGATCCTTGTTTCACCATCTCTGCCTACTGCCTACTGTCTATCCTGCACCGCACCTGGGTCACACCTCACACCAACCCTTACAGAAAACTGAGCCAATATGGACCCAGCGGAGGCAGCACAGTATCATAGCGCATTGGCAGCGCAGGGAGCCATGCTGGATCAGCACGACCGCAGCCTGCAGCAGATCATTGAGAATCTCTGCCAGCTGACGATCGCCGTGCAGAGCCGAGTGGACACCCGACCGGTCCCGGCAGCCGCCTGAGACATCGTGGGAACCCCGCCTACCACCTCCGGAGAGTTACGACGGACGTCCAGAGGGCTGCAGGGAATTCCTCACCCAGTGTTCCCTGATGTTCAGCCTACAACCCTCCTCCTTTCCGACGGAGCAGGGCCGGGTGGCCTACATTATCATTCTGTTGACAGATCGGGCCCTTTCTTTGGCTACCGCGGAGTGGGAGAGCCAAACTCCGGCGTGCTCCGACTCCTACCAATTCACCCGGGAGTTACGCAAGTTGTTCGACACCTCTTGGGTGGTGTCGGGGCACACGACCGGGAGGCGGCTCACGGCTTGTCGGCAGGGTGTCCGCTCGGTGGCGGACTACTCCGTGGAGTTCCGGACCCGGGCTTGAGAGGCAGGATGGAAGGAGACCGCCCTGGTTGTCCTGTACGCGCAGGGGCTATCGGAGGGGATGAAGGACGAACTCTCCTTCAGGGAGCTGCCTGAGCAACTGGACGGCCTCGTCGACCTCTCGGTGCGTGTGGACAATTGGCGTTGTGAGAGGGCTTATGAGAGAGGCATGACGCAAGGCTCGCCTCCGCGTCTCCCTATCAGCCTGGAGGCTTTCCGCCAATTCAGGGAGGAGACGCTTCAGGAGGAGGCTATGCAGCTGGGTGCGGCGCGCTTGTCCCGGATGGAGAGGCAGAGGTGTCTGCCCCAGGTACTTTGCCGGTACTATGGCCACACAGGTCACCACGGCGACTCATGCCCGGCGAAGCCGGGAAAACGGGTGGGCTCACTGGTATCGGGAAGGGTGCTAGTGAGCCGGAACCGAAACCCCAAACTCCAGAGATGACCAGACTTTTCTCCCCGTCAGGGTTCAGTGGGCCAGCGCTGCGCGTCGGGTGCATGCACTGGTGGATTCTGGGGCCGCGGGAAACCTGATGGCCCAAGGGTGGAGCGTTCCATTACTCTCTCTCTGAGCCGGTTCCAATCATGGGCCTGGACGGCCGGCTGTTATCGTGCGTGTCCGGGTGGCGGGGGAGGCTATGGGAGTATATCCAGTTTTTCATTGTGGACTCTCCGGAGTGTCCCCTCGTCCTCTGGTACCCCTGGCACTGTTACAGGATATCCTTGTTGTTACAGGAGATCCTACTGCCTACTGTCTATCCTGCACCGCACCTGGGTCACACCTCACACCAACCCTTACACTTTGGTCGTATGTGCTTTATACAGCTCCTCAAAAGCAAAGGGAGAAGTTAGCTAAATTATTATGTGTATTATAATTAATTGACATTTTTTTGTATGGGTTATGTTAGGGTAAATCAATCTGACATTTTAAATTCAAAATTACAAACTTTAGAAGCTTTTTTTATCTTGAAAACTCTACATGTTTGCATTTGCTGCTATGCAGGAAAATTCCTGCAACAACAAGATGATCAAATTAAGATACTGCATCTGTAGGACCAGGCTAGTAGCTGACAGGCAGAGAAGAAATATCGATGTAATAACAAGATCCTGACGGCAGTTCTAAGTGACCATCGTATTGTCCTGATAATCTCTATCTGTTGGCAGGGAAGTGCAGCCATGGGGGCTCATTGGACCGGACAAGCGGGCAGGAGCCTACGGGTGGGATCAACAAAGACTCGCTTGAGTCCAACCATGGCAACTTGCACACTGCAGCTGCAGAGGTGGCCGTGGTTGCAACCAGGCAGCTGCTGGAGGACATCAGAGGGGCTGCCGGGGACACAGACTTCCTACGGTGGGGAATTGTACTTAATCATATAAGCACTGTTGTGAAGGGTAATGGCAACCGACTGGAAGGACCACGAAGAAAAGGACTAGGGTTGGAAGGAGGCTTTTAAGGTCTCTACAGTGTATTCAGAAAGTATTCAGACCCATTTACTTTTTCCACATTTTGTTACGTTACAGCTTTATTCTGAAATTGATTAAATCGTTTTTTCCCCTCATCAATCTACACACAATACCCCACAATGACAAAGCAAAAACAGGTTTTTAGAAACTTTTGCAAATGTATAAAAATGTAAAACTGAAATATTCAGACCCTTTACTCAGTACTTTGTTGAAGGCACCCTTGGCAGCGATTACAGCCTTGAGTCTTCTTGGGTATGACGCTACAAGCTTGGCACACCTGCATTTGGGGAGTTTCTCCCATTCTTCTCTGCAGATCCTCTCAATCTCTGTCAGGTTGGATGGGGAGCGTCGCTGCACAGCTATTTTCAGGTCTCTCCAGAGATGTTAGATCGGGTTCAAGTCCGGGCTCTGGTTGGGCCACTCAAGGACATTCAGAGACTTGTCCCGAAGCCACTCCTGCGTTGTCTTGGCTGTGTGCTTAGGGTCATTGTCCTGTTGGAAGGTGAACCTTCGCCCCAGTCTGAGGTCCTGAGCGCTCTGGAGCAGGTTTTCATCAAGGAAAACTTTGCTCCGTTCATCTTTCCCTCAATCCTGACTAGTCTCCCAGTCCCTGCCGCTGAAAAACATCCCCACAGCATGATGCTGCCACCACCAATGCTTCACCATAGGGATTGTGCCAGGTTTCCTCCAGACGTGACACTTGGCATTCAGGACAAAGAGTTCAATCTTGGTTTCATCAGACCAGAGAATCTTTTCTCATGGTCAGAGTCCTTTAGGTCTCTTTTGGCAAACTCCAAGCGGGCTGTCATGTGCCTTTTACTGAGGAGTGGCTTCCGTCTGGCCACTCTACCTTAAAGGCCTGTTAGGTGGACTGCTGCAGAGATGGTTGTAGACAGTTTTGTGCCTTTCCAAATCATGTTCAATCAATTGAATTTACCACAGGTGGACTCCAATCAAGATGTAGAAACATCTAATGGATGATCAATGGAAACCGGATGCACCTGAGCTCAATTTCGAGGCTCATAGCAAAGGGTCTGAATACTTACGTAAATAAGGTATTTATGTTTTTATTTGTTATACGTTTGCAAAAAAATCTAAAAACCTGTTTTCACTATGTCATTATGGGGTATTGTGTGTAGATTGATGAGGGAAAAAATTAATTTAATCAATTTTAGATTAAGGCTGTAACGTAACAAAATGTGGAAAAAGGGAAGGGGTCTGAATACTTTCCGAATGCACTGTAGGATGGATGTGTTGAGTTGTGGCTTGTAAGGCCTTGGAGATACTTTTGGCCATGTAGTGTATGTGGACACTTCCTCGTCAAACATCTAATTCCAAAATCATGGGCATTAATATGGAGTTGGTCCCCCCTTTGCTGCTATAACAGCCTCCACTCCTCTGGGAAGGCTTTCCTCTAGATGTTGGAAACATTGCTGCGGGGACTTGCTTCCATTCAGCCACATGAGCGTTAGTGAGGTCGGGCACTGATGTTGGGCGATTAGGCCTGGCTCGCAGTCTGCGTTCCAATTCATCCCAAAGGTGTTCGATGGGGTTGAGGTCAGGGCTCTGTGCAGGCCAGTAAAGTTCTTCCACACCGATCTCGACAATCCATTTCGGAATGTCATTGTATGCTGTAGCGTTACGATTTTCATTCACTGGAACTAAGGGGCCCGAACCATAAAAAACAGCCCCAGACCATTATTCCTCCTCCACCAAACTTTACAGTTGGCACTATGCATTCGGACAGGTAGGGTTCTCCTGGCATCTGCCAAACCCAGATTAGTCCGTCGGACTGCCAGATGGTGAAGAGTGATTCATAACTCCAGAGAACGCATTTCCACTGCTCCAGAGTCCATTGGCGGCGAGCTTTACACCACTAGCAGACGCTTGGCATTGCGCATCTTAGGCTTGTGTGTGGCTGCTCGACCATGGAAACACATTTCATGAAGCTCCCGATGAACAGTTCTTGTTGCTTCCAGAGGCAGTTTGGAACTAGTGAGTGTTGCTTATAGATGTTTCCACTTCACAATAACAGCACTTACAGTTGACCAGGGCAGCTCTAGCAGGGCAGAAATTTGACTAATTGACTTGTTGGAAAGGTGGAATCCTATGACAGTGCCACGTTGAAAGTCACTGAGCTCTTCAGTACGGGCCATTCTACTTCCAAATGTTTGTCTATGGAGATTGCATGGCTGTGTGCTCGATTCTATACACCTGTCAGCAACGGGTGTGGTTGAAATAGCCGAATCCACCAACTTGAAGGGGTGTCCACATACTTTTGCCATGTAGTGTAGGATTGATGTGGATAACAAGGGTTTAGGATATGGTGGTCATGAAGATACAAAAGGAAAACATTAAGGAAAACATTAAAACAGTGCAGACATGACAAAGTAGTGCCAGGTGACTATGGGGAATAGGCTTAACATATAACATGTATAAACTAAGGACACTGCTAGGATAAATATGACTAAGGGTTAAAGGCAACATAATACACAATGATTCCATAAACAACCCATTGTGCTCTGTGTAATAAAATCAAGAATTGGATTCCTGCTCATTCCTCTAACATGACCGATGTACCATAGCGGTAGCAACAGTCCTGAACCGAACTTCACAGTCCACCCTGGGCTAGATCGTTTCTTCATGGCCCTTGAGCCGGATAAGACTGCTGCCATGGAACCAGACAACCTACCTGAAGGAGGTGCAGGGGTCATCCCCAAACGCCTTCAAAACACACACAGAACACACAAAGAACTCTTCAGCCCCTTTCAATACCAGCTCCTCCTAGACGATGTTAACAGACATCAACAACCAACCAGACAATACAGGTCAGCGTTCCACCCCAGGGCCTTCCCTCACCAGTGGTTAGCGTGCCACCTCCAGGCCTTTCCTCTCCAGTGACCAGCATGCCACGCCCTTCGGGTACCTCTCCTGTGGCAAGTGTGCAACCTCCAAGACACCCCCTGGTGGACAGAATTCCAACCCCAGGCCTTCCGGCTGGCAAGACAAACCCAAACCCTCCAACTGTCCAGAGGTATGATGAGCTTCGCCTTCCTCCTTCTGTGGCCTTTGGAGCGTGCCGCCCTCCGCCATGAGACAGCCAGGGCCAATCGACCAACAAGTCCTGAACCTAACTTACAGTCCATCGAAACCCTAGTCCTTTTCTTCAAGCACATTTATCTGCCTCTGACCCTGCTGCACATGTGCAACAACTTTTGCACTGCATAACACATGAGATGCCTTCTCTTTCTCTCTCTCCATCTCTCTCTCGCTCTCGCACTCTCTCTCGCTCTCTTTCTATCTCTCTCACTCTCTCTCTTACTCTCTCAGGATGATGGGGATCTCTAAGAATGGATCTAGAGTTCTGTGTTTTGTGATCGACACCACCGGCAGCATGTCGGACGACATCGCAACGGTAAAGAAGACCACAGCGTTCATCATCGACAGCAAGAGAGGAACGCCAAACGAGCCCTCAGCCTACATCTTGGTCCCCTTCAACGACCCAGGTGAGAGATGGCATCCTCTACCCTACGGGCCCTGGTCCAAAGTAGTGCTCTATGCAGAGAATAGGGTGTCATTTGGGACGCAGCCGTGATGCAACCTGTCTGACAGACCCCGGAATCGGGCACTCGAATAATCCCCAAAAATATGTGTATGTTTACATGACTTATTTTATTGATTTCCCACCATTTTATAAATCAGAAGACAGCCATCTAGACCTTCCTAGGACCATGTAAATGTCCCCTGTCGAATTAACGTGTATTTGCCTCCCTCTGGTGGTCGGCTGCATCTTTACATCCATTTATATCACTTCACTGCAAACGTCACGTCAAAGGGAAGGTCCTTTGAAAAACATTTATCCAGCTGGACTGCTTCACGGCACAGACATGGCAAAGCAATCGCTGATTTTGTCTCGAGCAGGCGGATCTAAATACATAACTTTCGTACCTCTATGATAAAGAATGCGACCTACACACTTCCTTAAACCTAAAATAGGTAAAGAAGTAATTTGGTGTGGAAGTCAAACATTTGTTTTACATCAGAGGCAGAAACATTGCATATGTTCAGAAGGACAAAATGGAGCCCTTTAGATAGCCCTTCTCCTCTTGTCTATAGGAGGCCCTTCTCCTCCTCTATAGGAGGCCCTTCTCCTCTTGTCTATAGGAGGGAGGCACGCTGTTTAAATGGCCCAAATGTTGATTTAGACGTTCACAAATGTGACAGGGGACACTACTACATCAATATAATATTGCCCTCTTGCTAGACTGATGATTTAAACCATTGCGAAACAGTGCAAAATGGCTGTCAGCTCAACTGGTTTTAAACAAACCAGCATACTCTCAGCTGTATACCAAAACAAGCACCAGGGCTGGTATTTTGCACAAAACAAACCCACCAAATCTCAGATTGTAGCTTTTAAGATAAATTACCTAACATACTACATGACATGGATTCCTAAAATAACTCTGCATAGACTACTACTGTGTGTAGCTAACAGCATTTTCAGGGAGAGAAAAAGAAAACATGTAATCTTATACTGTAATATCTCTGTACTTAGTGTGACAGTCCACACAATCTGATCAATGTGTATGACATGGATAACGTGTATGACATGGATAACGTGTATGACATGGATAACGTGTATGACATGGACAACGTGTATGAGATGGATAATGTGTATGACATGGATAACGTGTATGAGATGGATAACGTGTATGAGATGGATAATGTGTATGACATGGACAACATGTATGACATGGATAATGTGTATGACATGGATAACGTGTATGAGATGGATAATGTGTATGAGATGGATCTTGTCCAATCCTAACGTGTATGACATGGATAACGTGTATGACATGGACAACATGTATGACATGGATAATGTGAATGACATGGATAACGCGTATGACATGGATAATGTGTATGACATGGATAACGTGTATGAGATGGATAACGTGTATGAGATGGATAATGTGTATGAGATGGACCTTGTCCAATCCTATTATTTTTGTGCCACAAGACTTTGGACCCCTGATGCGGACCACGGACCCAGACATCTTTAAGGCCCAGATCAATGCACTGTATGCTGCTGGAGGAGGGGATCTCCCGGAGATGAGTCTATCAGGACTTCAGGTACATTGACAGTGGCTGACGAACCTGTAGTGTAGGACAGACATGTACAACCAATATAAGACTGTATACCTTATGGAACAACGGGGACTGTGAAGAGACACACACAAGGGTATTGACACATTCATACGCACACATTGTGATATTGTTTTATGGTGGTATTAAACATTTTGTATTGTAGATATGTAGTGGTGTAATAATGTTTTATGATGTACTGTTTTATATTCTGTTTAATATGTAATGTAAGTGCCTTGGCAGCAGCTAATGGGGCTCCCTAATAAATACAAATATAACTGTTATGAATTTGTATTGTGAATTTGCCTTCCAGCTGCCAGTTCAACATAGAATGCATTCCCAATACATTCTAGTGATATGCTAGTGTGACCGTGTCCCCTGTGCTTTCTACAGCTGGCTTTAACTGGTGCACCCCCCTCTTCAGAGATCTTCCTTTTCACTGATGCCCCCGCAAAAGACTTGTATCTAACAGGCACGGTGAACGCCCTCATAGAACGCACTAAGTCAGTGGTGAGTAGCTGGGCTTGTTTGGCTCTGTGACGAGCAACATTAACCGGTAACGTTTCCGTCTTCCTCTAGCTTTTTCATGCCTTTGGATTTATTGATTTTCACAATCGTAGAGAACTTCACAATCGCAGAGACTTCACAATCGTAGAGACCTTCACAATCGTAGAGACCTTCACAATCGTAGAGAGAAAAACATCAAATTCCTTGACTTTTCTCTCCTTTCTCTGCCCCTCAATTCACTATGTATTCTCTCTCGCTCTCTCTCTCTCTCTCTCTCTCTCTCTCTAGGTGACATTCTTCCTAACTGGCTCTTTGGGTCTCCGTCGTAGGAGGGGTAGTGACCAGGGCCAAGGACAGGTCCAGCACAGTCGGATGGCAGTGTCAGACGCCCAGCTCTACAGGAACCTGGCCCAGTCCTCAGGTGGCCAGGCAATACAGGTCACCAAGACAGAGCTGCCCAAGGCCACCAGCATCCTTGTGGAATCCTCCAGCTCTTCCTTGGTAGCCTTTGACTCCAATAGTAAACATTAGGGTAACCCTAGGTCCAAAATGTGAAGTTTGGGAGAAGATAATTCTAATATCCCATAACTCTTTGCATAAATGTGGAAGAATTCTATACAAGGGATCAGCTCTATCTTATTTATTTTCAAAAAGCTTGCACTCATTTATTAAGACCCCCCCCCCTTCTCTCCCACCCCTTTCTCTCTCTCTCCTCTCCTTCATTCTTTCAGGTGACCATTCTACAGGCTGTGAGGAGTCCAGGAAGGGCTGATAATTTCTCCTTCACAGTAGATGAGTCTGTGAGAAACCTGACTGCTTATGTAACAGGAAGCTCCCTTTCCTTCACTCTCACCAGCCCCTCAGGTATTCCAGAGATATTCCACAGATTTTTCATTCATCCTTTTTATTTACATTACATTTACGTCATTTAGCAGACGCTCCTATCCAGAGCGACTAACAGTTAGTGAGTGCATACATTTTCATGTATCCTTTTTATTTAATCTCTCATCACAAAGTCAGGTCTCTGTTGTAAAAGAGGTCTTCTGATCTCAATAGTGTATGACTTTGTGGGTTACAGCGAGCAAAGACGACCATCACCACCAATCATAGTTAACACGTTTTTAATGTTATTCTGCTACTGCCACACATATACCACAGGTGTTGTAACAATCACTCAGAACCACATCAATACATCTTCCTGTATTTTTTTTACAAACATGCACATTTCATCAACAAGCAATGTCAATTCACAAATACCAATTCATCCCTGTTTCAAAATAGTAAATAGTGAAAATATCAAAACAAACCCCAACAACTCAGTATGACTATGTGTCCAGTGGCAGTATGACTGTGTGTCCAGTGGCAGTATGTACTGTGTGTCCCAGGGCACGTCAGACTTTATATGGATGTTTTTTCTTAGCATTTTTAATGATAAAGGCTTTAAACATTACTCGATTCAGTCTGCCTATCCGTGACGTCATCGCCCCGCGCCAGCAGAAGCGCAAAGGCGCAAAGACAACAAAACATAGCATGGCGGACGACAGAGGAGAAGCCGACGAGCGAGAAATTATCAAGCCACCATTGCGGTCCTTACAAGAAACAGGAATCTAGGAAACTTCACCTGCACTGTCCAGTATCCAGGTATTTATTTCAGTCACACTGGTTGAATTTTTGGCTAAAAGGTTACTTAATCGATTTCAAGTCAATGAATCGTTTCGGATCGTATCGTTCTAAATGAACCAATATCGTCCTTGAAACGTATCGACAACCACGAATCGTGATACAAATCGAATCGTTGTTAAAACGAATCGTTACACCCCTAGTCCAGTGGCAGTATGACTGTGTGTCCAGTGGCAGTATGACTGTGTGTCCAGTGGCAGTATGACGGTGTGTCCAGTGGCAGTATGACTGTGTGTCCAGTGGCAGTATGACTGTGTGTCCAGTGGCAGTATGACTGTGTGTCCAGTGGCAGTATGACTGTGTTTTCAGTGGCAGTATGACTGTGTGTCCAGTGGCAGCATGACGGTGTGTCCAGTGGCAGCATGACGGTGTGTCCAGTGGGAGTATGACTGTGTGTCCAGTGGCAGTATGACTGTGTGTCCAGTGGCAGTATGACTGTGTGTCCAGTGGCAGTATGACTGTGTGTCCAGTGGCAGTATGACTGTGTGTCCAGTGGCAGTATGACTGTGTGTCCAGTGGCAGTATGACTATGTGTCCAGTGGCAGTATGACTGTGTGTCCAGTGGCAGTATGACTGTGTGTCCAGTGGCAGTATGACTGGTGTCCAGTGGCAGTATGACTGTGTGTCCAGTGGCAGTATGACTGTGTCCAGTGGCAGCATGACTGTGTGTTTTTTATGTACTATTTTTTACATTATTAGCTCAGAAAGTGTTTTGCATCATTACATACAGCCGGGAAAAACTATTGGATATCAGAGCGGCGGTAACTCACCAGCATTACGACCAGGAATACGACTTTCCCGAAGCAGATCCTTTGTTTGCTCTCCCCAGGGCAACTGAACTGATTCCAGCGGCTGACCCAAAACATCGCCGGTGGAGGAGAGGCACTCGGAGCGGCCTGCTGGTTCGACTTAGGAGGTGCGCACACCACCCACCACTTCCGAGTATATTACTCGCTAATGTTCAATCTTTGGTTAACAAGCTCGATGAACTCCGGGCAAGGATTTCTTTCCAGAGAGACATCAAGGCCTGTAACATACTCTGGTTTCACGGAAACATGGCTCTCTTGGGATATTCTGTCGGAATCGGTCCAGCCTGAGGGGTTCTCAGTTCATCGCGCAGACAGGAATAAATATCTCTCTGGGAAGCAGAAGGAGGTGTGTGTTTCATGATTAACGACTCATGGTGTAATTGTAGTAACATACAGGAACTCACATCCTTTTGTTCACCCGACCTAGAATTTCTCACAATCAAATGCCGACCGTATTATCTCACAAGATAATTTTATTTGGTTATAGTCACGGCCATGGATATCCCCCCTCAAGCCGATACCACGACGGCCCTCAAAGAACTTCACTGGACCTTACGCAAACTGGAAAACCACATATCCTGAGGCTACATTTATTGTAGCCGGGGATTTTAACAAAGCAAATTTGAGGACTAGGCTGCCGAAGTTCTATCAATATATCGACTGTTGTACTCGCGCTGCAAAAATCCTTGACCATTGCTATTCGAACTTCCGGGATGGTTATAAGGCCCTCCCCCGCCCTCCTTTCGGCAAATCTGACCACGACTTCATTTTGCTTCTCCCTTCCTATAGGCAGAAACTCAAACAGGAAGTACCCATGCTGAGGACTATTCAACGCTGGTCTGACCAATCGGAATCCACGCTTCAAGATTGTTTTGATCACGGGGACTGGGATATGTTCCGGGTAGCTTCTGGTAATAATTTAAACGAATACACTGAAACTGTGAGTGAGTTTATCAGGAAGTGTACAGGTGATGTTGTGCCCACTGTGACTATTAAAACCTCCCCTAACCAGAAACCATGGATAGATGGCAGCATTCGCCTAATCTGAAAGCGCGAACCACCGCATTCAACCATGGCAAGGTGACCGGAATATGACAGAATACAAACAGTGTAGCTACTCACTCCGCAAGGCAATTCAACTGGCAAAACATCAGTATAGAGACAAAGTGGAGTCGCAATTCAACGGCTCAGACACGAGACGTATGTGGCAGGGTCTACAGACAATCACGGACGACAAATGGAAAACCAGCCACGTCGCCGACACCGAAGTCTTGCTTCCAGGCAAGCTAAACACCTTCTTCGCCCGCTTTGAGGATAACACAGTGCCACTGACGAGGCCCACTACCAAGGACTGTGGCCTCTCCTTCTCCGTGGCCGACGTGAGTAAGACATTTAAGCACGTTAACCCTGGCAAGGCTGCCGGCCCAGACGGCATCCCTAGCCGCGTCCTCAAAGCATGTGCAGACCAGCTGGCTGGTGTGTTTACAGACATATTCAATCTCTCCCTTTCCCAGTCTGCTGTTCCCACATGCTTCAAGATGGCCACCATTGTTCCTGTACCCAAGAAAGCAAAGGTAACTGAACTAAATGACTATCGCCCTGTAGCACTCACCTCTGTCATCATGAAGTGCTTTGAGAGACTAGTCAAGGATCATATCACCTCTACCTTATCTGTCACCCTAGACCCACTCCAATTTGCTTACCACCCCAATAGAACCACAGGCGATGCAATCGCCATCACACTTGCACACTGCCCTATCCCATCTGGACAAGAGGAATACCTATGTAAGAATGACTGTTCATTGACTATAGCTCAGCATTCAATACCTTAGTACACTCCAAGCTCATCATTAAGCTCGAGGCCCTGGGTCTGAACCCCGCCCCTGTGCAACTGGGTCCTGGATTTCCTGACGGGCCGCCCCCAGGTAGTGAAGGTAGGAAACAACATCTCCACTTTGCTGATCCTCAACACTGGGGCCCCACAAGGGTGCGTGCTCAGCCCCCTCCTGTACTCCCTGTTCACCCATGAATGCGTGGCCAAGAACGCCTCCAACTCAATCATCAAGTTTGCAGACGACACAACAGTATTAGGCTTGATTACCAACAATGACGAGATCCGCCTACAGGGAGGAGGTGAGGACTCTGGGAGTGTGGTGCCAGGAAAATAACCTCTCCCTCAACGTGATCAAGACAAAGGAGATGACTGTGGATTACAGGAAAAAGAAGAGGGCCGTGCACGCCCCCATTCTCATCGACGGGGCTGTAGTGGAGCAGGTTGAGAGCTTCAAGTTCCTTGGTGTCCACATCGCCAACAAACTATCATGGTCCAAACACACCAAGACAGTAGTGAAGAGGGCACGACAAAGCCTATTCCCCCTCAGGAGACTAAAAAGATTTGGCATGGGTCCTCAGATCCTCAAAAGGTTCTAGAGCTGCACCATCGAGAGCATCCTGACTGGTTGCATCACTGCCTGGTATGGCAACTGCTCGGCCTCCGACCGCAAGGCACTACAGAGGGTAGTGCGTATGGCCCAGTACATCACTGGGGCCAAGCTTCCTGCCATCCAGGACCTCTATACCAGGCGATGTCAGAGGAAGGCCCTAAAAATTGTCAAAGACTCCAGCCACCCTAGTCATACTGTTCTCTCTGCTACCACATGGCAAGCGGTACCGGAGCACCAAGTCTAGGTCCAGGAGGCTTCTAAACAGCTTCTACCCCCAATCCATAAGACTACTGAACATCTAATGAAATGGCTACCCAGACTATTTGCATTGCCCCCCCCCCCCCTCTTTTACGCTGCTGTTACTCTCTTTTTATTATCTAATTATTTATGCATATTCACTTTAATAACTCTACCTACATGTACATATGACCTTAATTACCTCAACTGACTGGTGCCCCCGCACATTGACTCGGTACCGGTACCCCCTGTATACAGCCTCGCTATTGTTATTTTTACTGCTGCTCTTTAATTATTTGTTACTTTAATTGCTTATTATTTTTTCATGTAATATTTTTTTGTATTTTTTTGTATTCTTTCTTAAAATGTCATTGTTGGTGAAGGGCTTGTAAAGCATTTCACCTGTTGTATTTGGCGCGTGTGACGAATACAATTTGATTTGATTTGAGGCTGTCAGCAAGGCAAAGGGTGGCTATTTGAAGAATTACAATTATAATATATATTTTCATTTGTTTAACACTTGTTTGGTTACTACATGATTCCATATGTGTTATTTCATAGTTTTGATGTCTTCACTATTATTCTACAATGTAAAGAAATTAAAAAAATTAAGAAAAACCCTTGAATGAGTAGGTGTGTCCAAACTTTTGA